GATAGTTTTGCCATCTTGCTACAATTAAACATTTAGGGGCATTAAGGCAAGCACGTGAGGAGGGATTGGGTGGGGTGGGGTGTAGGGGGGTGGGAGTTGAATTTTTTATTTAATTTTATAATTAATTTTTAAAATTTGTTTAGATAAAATTTAATTAGAGGTTTTAAAAATTTATAATTAAAAAATAAGAGATTAATAATTTAATATAATATATATAGAGATTTTAGATGAAAATTTTTGATAAATTTTTTTGTATAAGTTAGATGAAAAATAATTAAAATTAAATATTATATTTTGATTGTGTTATATATTAATTTATAATTTTGTATCTGAATTTTAATATTTTTTTGTTGTTTTGATATTTTATTGTTGTTAATTTTTTTGATATTATATTAATTCTTGTTATTTTTATGTAATTATTGAAGATTGTATTTATTATATAATTATTGAAAGTTATTTGTGAAAAAAAATTTTTATATCAATTAGTGTATCAAAAAGATTAAGTTATTTAATAAATTTAGTATTTTATGATCTATTACTCTTACTAAGATTAAAAAACTAAAAAATAAAAATATAGGTTTGAAAATTTTATTAAAATATAAGTTTGAAAATTTTTAATTTTTGAAATTTTTTTAGATAAAATCTAATTAGAGAAATTGAAGGTTTATAATTAAAAAAATTAAGGGATTAATAATTTAATATAATATATATAGAGATTTTAAATGAAAATTTTTGATAAATTTTTTTGTATAAATTAGACAAAAATTAATTTAAATTAAATATTATATTTTAATTGTGTTATATATTAATTTATAATTTTTATATGAAATTTAATAAATTTTTTATGAATAAACCAAATGTAAATGTTTTTTATAATATAAATAAAATTACAAATAATTTTTTAAAAAAATAAAAAATATAGTGTTATAAATTATTTTTAAAATCATTAAATAAGAATTTTTATAATTATAATTATAATTATTATATTTTATATAAATTAAGCCAAAAAAAAATATTCATAATTATCATGATTGCAGTGACTATAATAATCTCCATTATATCTTAAAATGCAATAAATAAAACGCAATAAAAAACGCAATCGCTATTTAAATCCGTGAGGAGAACTAAAGGGAGAGGAAAACTTCTCAGGACAGTATCTCATGTAACCGAAACACGTGGTCAGAATCTATTAGCTATATCGAGGGTTATATTTCTGAGAAGAATCAGTAACTCTGCAAATAAAACTGCGAACTGTCCATTGCATAGAGAGCTTGGGGAGAGCTTCAGGAACCGGCCATATATTTCAGAAAAGAAAAATAAAACAAGACCCCCAAAATAACGTATAGAGATGGTCAAGATTTGAATCTGATCACTGGAAATATAAGTCCAGCACTCTACCAACAGACCATACAATTGTCGGCAAAATAACCTATATTTTCATAAAGAGTAGTCAGGTAAGAGAACAATTTCATTACAAGGCTTAGCATTAAACTTCTCTAAGGAGATCTGAAAGCTTCACCAGCATAGCGAACATTTCCAAGTTCCTCTTCAATGCGAAGAAGCTGCAACCAGATTGGGAGAAAGTCAGATGATTCCTTCAAAACTAATTAACAATCAATGAAAAGAGTAACGAGAGAGAAAGAGAGAGGTAATCCCCATCAAAGTAATAGACAACAACCATATAATACAGTAAATCAGGAAGGAAGAGAGATGGGAGGAGAGGTGGGAGGTTGGTCTTGTTCAATTATACCAAATAAAGTAGAAATCAATATTAACCTCATAATTCATTCGGCTTTCTGCTAGTCCAAAAGATCCACGTCAGGAAAGAGCATGCCAAAGGTATAGGAGTAGACTAGAAGAATAGAGGAGAAGAAAATCCCAAAAATTACGTGATTGTATTTGGCAAACCTCTCACTTCTACAAGGAGCTCCAGTCTTGATCTATACAAAAGAACAACAATCCTCACCTTCTAGAATTGAAAAAAATAATAGAAAAAACGCATTGCTGATAAAATGCTATTAGAGATTAAGGATTTCAAATGATGTACCTGGCCGCTAGCCAAACCAACAGAAAGTTCAGCTATGAAGTTGTCCTCTGTTTCACCACTTCGGTGGCTGACCATCACTCCCCATCCAGCAGCTTTCGAGTCAAGTGCTGATTGAATAGATTCTGTCACTGTGCCAATCTGGTTAACCTGTGATATACAGTAACAAAAAATAAGCTATGGCGTATCTCTTCTTACATTAATACAAAAAAGGGGGAAGCAAAGAAAAAAAACATTGCATCATGCACTATATTTTCATATACATTAATTTCCTGATGAAAAGAAATATTTTTTAACTCTGTCAAGGAGGCCCATTACGAAGCACCACCATCAACTGAGCAATCAAACATGTTGGTTGAAAGGATCTAACTACAACTAAAGCACCCTCTGTATATTTGTTTCTAATAGAATTTCACTAAATCTCCCATCATCCCCTGCAAACTTAATAGAATTTTCGTTCATGGAACTCAGATATTGAATCCAAGACATAGCATGGTCACATTTGCAACCACACAGCCTGCTTCTATGTACTATATAGTGCAGCCAAGTTTCTCGCAATAAGTGCAAGGTCATAATCAATATAGAGGTTGGACAGTTAGAATCTATAAGATATAGAAAATTATTTATTCTATTGTAAATTGAAGTTTATGTATGTCACATCTGGATTTCAATAGCATGTTTTATAGATTAAATTCTATCAATGTAAATAACAATTACTAAGCATGCCACACTGATGCACATTATTGGGTTCTATTCTAAATGAAGATTAAAGTATTCAGTAGGCCAGAATGGCAGAACTGGACAAGGAAGAGTTGTCTTGGAAGAACTATGGAAGAGAAAATACCAAGAAAGGACAGGATCGTGCTGGCTTAGATGTTGACCTTACGAAGCAAGGCATTGCAAGTCTTCTTTTAAATGCCTTTGCCTATTCTCTTCGGATTTGTGACTAACAAATCATCTCTAGCAAGTTGTATATCGACTGATGACTGTAGCGAAGCCCATGAGCTCCAGTCATCTTGGTCAAACGGATATTCAATCGACACGATAGGAAAATCTTTGAGAAACTCTTTGTAGAGTTCAACCAAGCTCTGAGCTGCACGCTCATGAGCTTCATCATTTGGTTGTTTCTTAAAGTTTAGGTCATATTTCCCATCCTTTGTGAAAAACTCTGAAGCTGCAACATCCATTCGTATTTTGATCTGCGATTTTAATATTTTTTAGGTCATATTTAGCCTATGACAAAGAGACAAAAACAGAAGTATCCATCTGCTACCTTTCCAGTGTAACCAGCCTTCTCAATAGCATCCATTAGCAAAAGACTAATCCCTCCCTATTGTCCTGAACGTTAGGCGCAAATCCACCTTCATCTCCGACATTGCAAGCATCTTGTCCATATTTTTCTTTGATAATACCCTTTAGTATGTGATAAACTGCACCCTCAAAAAGAAGAAAGTTTTATCCACTTATGCAAAGACAGATTTCTTGATTTAATTGAAGAACATGCTAAGGTCAGAAATTCATGACAATTTCAATCTGATTACAGATAACATGGGTTCATAGAGCCAAAACATAAGCCTCTATGTACAAAATAAGAATCAAACTTGACATCCAAGTCCATATCAAGAGAATAAAAGATTGTCCAATAAAATACAAATATAACAACAGCTAACATAGATAAAGCATTACTCATCTAACCTTCACTCCCCATGCGAGGCGCCTCAGCAATGGAGCTTGCACCGACAGAATCATAAATTCTTGCATAGCCAAATTATTTCTAGCCTGACTTTCCTCCATTGATTACCTTAAAAGCTGGAACTTGCATAACAGGCTCCTTTGTTCCTGACAATTCCTGGATATGCTTGTACAATGGCATCCCTTTCGCCCCTGCGCCTGCTCTGCACACGCTCAATGACACTCCCAACATTGCATATTTGCATTAGCTCCCAGCTTTGAATTGTTTGAAGTGCCATCAATTTCCAGCATAACAGCATCTACATCCGCTTGATTCCTTGGCAAAGAGAAAGTCAAACCAAGTATTTCATTTACTTTTGCTAGTTGCATATTTGCTTCTAAGAAAAGTATTGTATTCAAGTTTTACCTGACATCAATTCGAATAAGCTTAGGACCCAAAACTTCATTGATGTTATTGACGGCAAAGAGCACACCTTTGCCGCCATCTGAGGATGGTGTATGGGAATTTCACACACTATGAAGAAGAGAGTTTTTTTTTTGCATGCAAATTAATTATGTTGAAACTTATGACAAAGAAAATTTCAGATTTAGATAAAAGATTGGGAAAAGATATATGTTGATTAATTCATGATATAAATCACAAATGATTTTATCAAAAAAAAAAAAAAGTGCAATTGTATATATTTTTTTAAAATCATGTCTTATCCAAACATGTCATTAACAGAAAGAAGGAATATGTGCAGAATAGATAATTAACCACATATGTACTATCATTAATAAACTTGATTTTTTTTCCTTAGTGGTTTAATTATTTATTAAGTGATTATTATAGCTTAAAATCTACAAATTTTCGAATTTTATTTAACGCTTTAGGTGAAATTAAAATATATCAAACTAATTATATTAATTTCTTTGTTAGAAATAAAAATCCAAATTTACAACTTAAATACCAATGAGTTTATTAGTGAATGATACTGAAATCCACTTTAAAAATGAAAATAAAACCCAAAAGATAAAAATAAATTTTACAAGGCCACCATTAATTACGTCGTTTCAGAACGCATCGGGGGCAAAATGGTACATTTATCACCCAACCACATGACGTGCATGTTCCAAGCTTCCTCCACCTGGCAGAATCCCGATTTCAGCGGATCCCACACGACTGAAATTACAGAGAAAATCCTCGTAATCAAAATTTAGTTAATATGTAAATATAAATAAATAAATATATATATAAATAAACAGAGATTGCATGAAAAAAGAAACCAGTTTTACAAAAAACAAACTGTTACATAAATTAGAGACTTGTCTTTCGTCGGTGGTTGTTTCGATTTCTCTTTAGGAACAAAGAAACGTAAATAAAATCAACCCAAAATCCAAATCCGATCTTTTCTTCTTCTTTCTTTGTTTTGAAACCAATCCCCCACAAAAAAAAAAAAAAAGAAGAAACAATGGTTCGTGTCAGCAACTGGATTGTAGTGTTCGTGAACAGCATGTTGCTGTTATTAGGACTGCTTTCCTTGTTCTTTGGGGTTTACTTTTCCGTCCAGGCAAGCACCCATTGCGAGAAAGTATTGACGGATCCATTGCTGATACTGGGTGGTTGTTTGGCGGTTGTTTCTTTGCTAGGGTTAATTGGTTCTTTGTTCAAGAACACCTTTTTCATGTTTATTTACTTGGCCATCTTGTTTTTCTCAATACTTGGTCTCATTGGTTTCACTGTCTTCGTGTTTCTGGTCACCAACTATGACGCTGGGAAGGTGTTTTCAAAGCGAGATTTGATCATTAATGAGCGTAAAACTGCGGATTTCTCCAATTGGTTGCAGAATCATTTTGTTAATGACAAGAATTGGAATCAGATTAAGAGTTGTTTGATCGATGCTAAGGTTTGCAGTAATATTGGAAATAATAATGATGTTAATTACAAGGCATTGGCTTTTTTCAAGAACACCCTCCCTGCAATACAGGTATTTTTCTTCTTAATTTCTGGTGATTTTTTTTTATGTTTTATAAAGGAAGTTGTGGTAAGGAATTGCAGGTGTGTTAGATGTTATCTCTTAATGACAATACAAATCGATATGAATCAATTGAGTCAAGCTACGAATTCATGTGAATATCACTTTGTGTTTGCTGTGAATTATTGCATACCAACCTACACTACCATTTGTGTTGAGTTTCCTCTTTTCTTGGTCAGATTCTTTTCTTTATCTACCGTGGAACATGGATATCTTTCCTAGTAATTTGCTTTGTTTTAACTGGTAGAATGAAAATTTTACTTTGATTTTCCTCTTAATTAGGTTATAATTATAATTCAATACATGGCATTAATTGTGTTTTGCTGTGTCCTTCCACTAGCTAACGCAAATATGAAAGCTCTTTATTAGAACTTAATGCAAATGTAATAAGTTTTACACAAGTTCTCTTGTTTTTTATCTCTAATCAATTTTTAATGTGATGATATCTAGAAATGTTACAAATTCTAGTATTCTACAGATTTTTTTTTTCCCAAATAGTCAGGTAGGATATACAACAGAAACCAGCCCTATGAGAGAATATATAAATGTAAATATTGGATTTTTTTTTTGTACATCAAAGCCGTAATTCTAAGATAGAGAAAGACATTACAGATGTTTATATCACTCGATTGGTTGTTTTTCATTTTTGAGTAATATTTTACTTGGTTCAAATTTATGGTAAAAATGTGATTGCCTTCATTAGTGAGCTAAAAGTTTAGGGTTTCTTTCAAAAAAATCTGATACCTAACATTAGATTGTCCTACCTACTTAAATTCCTTACCAGAGTAATTCTGCTGATTAGTTGCATATCAGAAACCAAAAGTTTGAGTTTTTTTTTTTTTTTGGATCATCCCATTATAGTTATAGCCTACTGCCATCAATAATTTTAGACAACAAAATGTTCAGGCTGGCTGCTGCAAGCCACCAACGCCCTGTGGCTTCCTTCCGAAGAATGAAACATTCTTGGAAGTTCCAAAATCAGGTGCAGCCACCAAAGATCCTGACTGCTCAACTTGGAGCAACAACCAGCAGACGCTATGCTATGACTGCAACTCATGCAAAGGAGGAATTCTTGCTAACATCAAGGAGCAGTGGAGGTCATTGGCTATCATCAACATCATTCTCGTCGTCTTCCTCATTTTCATTTATTCTGTTGGTTGCTGTGCCAGGAGGAGTAATCAGAAATACTAGCAAGAAATATATCAGAGCCTTTGCTTGATGACCTAATTTCATTCTATACATACATATATATATATATATATATATGTAACTGCCCAATTAAACATAAATCATGTTCTTAAATTACCTTGTTTGCTTTGAAATAGATTATTTAAGATGATAATTGTCTCATTGTACTGATTGAATTTCCCTTTGACAGCATGTTGAGAGTTCCTTCAAGCATGCTGTGATGTCATTTTATGACTGAATCCTTTATAAAACGACGTTTCAAAACAGTATCCAATCTCAGAACCTTTGAAAATAAATGCTGAAACCATAATTTTTGATTGGAGATTGAAGGCAAAAAGAAGTTCAATCTAGTTTTAAAACTTCAGAAGGAACATATGGTTGGACTTCATTTGAGAAAAGTACATGCAAGAAACAGGAAAACATATGCTACTAATGATGTTAACAACTCGAGCGTCCATGTTGGGTGAATTAGAACTGTTGGAATCATTGGAACAAAGATTGATCCACAGATCCACCCAGTAGCAAGTGCGCCGAGTCTGCGATGCAACAATTGAGCAAAAACAGAAGATCATATTGAGCAAGATTGAAAGGGGAAGGAAATTAAAGAAAAAAAAGATAGGTGGCGAGTAACACATGAAAAAGAGAACTGGAAAAAGAATGTTGCAAAATCTATAGCTTACCCAATAATGAAAGCCCGAGCCAAGCTCTTTGTTTTTTCGTTAAGGAAATATATGCAGGCTGCCAAAGAGACTGCTACCTGTGTATAAAATAACAAAGAAAAAGAAGAAACAAAAAAATCATTTCTTCATTATAATGAGTGAAGAAAAGCTTCAAAAATCCATGGAAATGTGCAAATTAACATAAAATTAAACTTGACCTATTTATGTCCTTTTATTTTGTTTATTTACTACCATTACAATTATTCTTCATTTTTCCTTTTTGGCTGAGACCTTCAACAACAAGTCGGCAAAGCTATGATAGAAAAGATCATTCAAGCTTGAGAGGAATAGAGAGAACAGATTCATTTAGAAGTCTCAACTAGTTTTGATTGAGGTTCACCTGAGTTCAGCTTAATTTGAGGAAAGGGGAGGGGAGCAGTATGGATTCAACTGGAGCAATCCATAACAGGCATAAGCAGTCTTTATAATTATGCAGCACTCTATAAAAGAATGAGAAAATGCAAAACTTTTGAAAACAAGAAGGATAGAACCACCAAACTTGAAACGGATTAAAAAGGTTAACAAGCAGATGGCACTGACATTACAGCCAGCTTATCCTGGCAGATCTTAAATAGGAAGTGAAAACTTATACTTTTTCCCACCACCACATTAAAATGAGTAAAATTATCCTTTTACCTATTGTGATGCTCCATTTATGCAAGGTTTCAATTCGGTAATCATTAAGATGAAGGTAATGATGAGAAGAAATGTAACAAACCTGAAAGGCAGGTCCACTCTCAGAAGAATTCATTATACTCCAGCCACCCATGACGGCAAATAGGAACAATCTTCTGAAAATAACTTCCACTGGAGGAAGTTCCACAAAATTGAGCAAGTTTTTAATCCAAGGAGGAGACTCCTCTACCTTCTTCTTTAGCCGACTTTTCAAGTTAATCTTTTCTTTCTTTCTATGCTGGAAGCTGACCATAAGTAGTTTCTCAAATGCAGCTTCAATTGATTCTTCACTTCTCTCATGCCCAGCATATTGTTCCAAGAGGAAATTGCGCGCTGACCAAATTTCTTCCTCTGAAGCATAAGGACTAATACCAAGCCGTTTATAGGGATCCCAAACTTTGATTCGAGGAAAAGTTGGGGCATTAACTAGAGAAGAAGGATAAAGCAAGAGTCAGAAATACGAGGGTAATGCACAGGAAACTGCCACTAAAGCAGATTTTATAAGCATATATACATACATACGTCTCTCATTTCTCAGTGTCTATATGTCTCTGTGTATCTATACCATATATGTAACAGCATCCCTGACTATTGTAGCTATCATTTTAAATCCTTTGTTCATCCCTCTGACTGAGGAGGTGTATTGCATCAGAGAAAAAGATAAAATGAATAAACCATGTAATAACCATCACCACATTTATAGCATTTCAAAAGGAACAGTAAGTCTAGCCAAATGTGTTTGACCACTTATACAAGTACTTGTCATACAATAGGGTAGACGCTCATGCAGGTCTCGACGTATAAGCCACATAATTAAAATTAATCCAGTATCAAATGAATGTTCATCAAGTTTGTATTGCAAATTCAAAAGAGAATAAAGTAAATAGCATTACCCTTTTAACCTTTGAGCATATTGTCCACAGAAAGGGGGAAAGAAGTAAAAATAACTTCTATCATAATTTGAAAATGACTCTAATTCACCTGACAGGTCTTTGTTCCAAAGAAAAAATGTCCTCAGAAATAGGTATAAAAAGTTTACCCTTTGAAAAATTCTTATATGTAGAAATTAAAATAGACAAAAGAAAAGGGAGGGGATATACTTCTTCCCAAATCCATAAATCCAATCATAAATGTGAGAATTAGGAACAGATTCAGTTTATTAAGATTTTAGTTCAGCTTACACTTTCCTCCCTTCATTTTCTTTTAGCTAAACTAGAAACGTGAGATTCCCCTTTCCTTTCCTCTCACCAAATCCAGTGTTAAATCATTAGATAAGGTTCCATAAATACATTTTACGTTTTCCAAAGTGTGGCAGCACTAGCAAAGGAGGTCATCCCATCATTAGCCATATTCATGCATTGGTATTAGTGTCATAGTTAAGAGTGGTTCACATCATGAAAAGATTTACATCAGCAGCGAAAAAGCTGAGGCAGTAAGGAGGGAGCTGGAGTAAAAGAGAGATAAGTAATGACCATAGCATCATCACAAATGGCTAAGAGATGATTGAGGCACAAAATTCATGGCAGCAAGATGATGGAGCCAGCAAAGGCAAAGTAGAGCAAAGATAAGTAATAATCCCCCGTTCCATCATTTGGTTCAATGGTTTTTCCCATCACAAATAAAATAAATTGCGAATATCCACATAATAGTCCCTCATTAGTAGATAATGAAAATAATCAACCTAGGCTTTGACAGGATATAAGTTTCCTTTTTCCAAACAATTCCTCTTTCTTCTTTCGGGTCATCTTACGTGGAAGCTACACGAAATTATATAACTTTAACCCACAATTGATCCTGACTAGTCGGCCTACTTGTACACATGAAAAGAAACCTTCAAAATATTTACAAGAACTATCATATATCGACCACCACTCTATCTGCATCAGTTTCCAACATAATTTTCCACAATGGACAAAAGGGTATTTTCCATTATCACTATATTTACAGTTCAGTATCACATCTATTTAAAAAAAAAACCAATTTTGAGCTAAAGTGAATTCATAAACTAATAGCAGAAGACAAGCACTAAAAATTATTAACAAAATAACAATATTAAAGCAACATAACCCATAAAATAAATAGAGAATTCGCACAAATTCAACAAGAATTGGGACACATAAAGCATTGTTCAAGCAAAAAAAAAAAAAATCAAAATTACCTCCATAAGGCATGTCCACAGCACATCTAGGGATTCTATGGCTTCTTAAAATGGGGTTATAAGTTATCCCATTTTTCGAATTCTGATTCTGACAACTGTAAACATCGTCCCCAAAACAATTCAAAACAAAAAAAAAAAGAAAGAATTTTAGCTTAAAACAAAAAGAAAAAAAAAAAAAAAAGGCTTACAGTTTGTGGCCGAGGAAGAGAGTGAAGAGAGTGGGGTTGGAGAGCAACGACGACATGAAAACAAAATTGTTTGTAATTATGATTTGATGAACTTTGGAAGAAGTGAAAGTGAGAAGTTTCTTTAGCTAAAGAGATGTTTTATTTGGAGTAGCTGGAGGCACGGGGAGGAACAGTTGTTTTCATGATTTTGCGTTTTATTATCGGACATGGGCAACAGGAGAAGGAAGAGGACAAGGACAACATAAGAAAACCGAACCGTCTTCTTTGGTGGGTCTCTTTTCGGTTCGGTCCAAGTTGTAAAATTTTTTCTTTTACTTGTATAAACCGAACCGTCATTTTTTTTAAAAAAATTTTAGAGTCAGTATAAAGTTTAAATTCGATTTTCTTTGGTTTAATATCCAGAAAAGACCTCAAACTTTATTTTAAAATGCATAGAAGCCCTCAATTTTTTATTATATGAAATTAAGATTATAAACTTTTATTATTGTAATTAGAACCTTAATGGTATAAAATACTCAAATTTTTTGTTTAATTTATTTAAACTACGATTTAATTCATAAAAAAACTTATTTAGATTCATTTGAATGAATTAATTAATAAATATTTAAGAAAATACTATTTTAAAAATTCTATCAATTGGATATCATTCATCCAATTTTAAGATTTAATGAGTATGATTATAATAAAATAAAAATTTATAAACTTAATTTCATGTAATAAAAGATGGAAAGCTTATTTGCATATTGAAATAAAGTTTGAGAGATAATTTGGGTATTAAGCCATTTTTCTTTTAAATAAATTTTCCTTTAAACCTGCGGTTTGCCTGGTTCTGGAATAAAATAGATTTTCCTTCCCTAAATTTTTTTTCAAACAAACATCTCAATCTATAATTCCAAATATTTGAATCCAAAATTTATGATGCTTTGTATGTAAGCCATTAATGTATGTCTTTTCCATTTTTTTTTTCTTTCAAAGGAAAGCAACATTCTATTACATGAAAAAAAAAAAAGAAATGATTTGATTCGAACCCAAATTTTAATATATTCTTTAAAGCTTCTTTGCTACTAGATCAAGAAGCGGAAGACATTTTTTTCCATATCTTTGCTCGTTTATATCAAGCTTTTCCAATATGTTTTAGAGCAAAAATTATTAGTGATTTTTTTTTTTTGAGGCATTAGAAAAAAGATGAGAACAAAAAGTATCAACTACCATTAATGAAAGAATTACAAGAGATTGATTGTTCTAAAGAGATCTGATCTAAACAAAGAATGCACATTCAAATTCAAGCGTGTCACTTGCTAGAGTTAATAATGATTTGGATCGAATCCAATTTAATTTAATTTTTTTTATAATACATAAAATTATGAATTTCTTAAAATCTAATCCAAAACCGAACTTTGTTACTATTCTGTGCCAGCAAGGAACTTTGTGCTGGTTGTACCAAAACGTTTAGCTGCTGCAGGGATAACTTGGGATGGTGACATAACCTCCACCAAAGAGAATTTGTTTGTATCTGTTCCTAGTTGACTCAGTAGCCACCTTCTGCTTCCTGAAAACCCCGTCAGCTACCACTCAGCAGTTGTTGAAACCGGATTTGTTAATGTTTTTGCGACTATTTTTGCTGAATGGCAGTAGCTGAGCATTCAAAGGTTCGAAAAGGTTAATCTCAGTAATTGATTTTGTAGTGCATTGGGATAATGGGAGAGGAATGGAATAAAAACTCACGAGTCCATGATCAACATGTTAGAGCCTTTGCTGATTTTCTTGAGATAAGAAATCTTCATGGCTGCAATCTCACCTTCTATGTTCTTTGCACTTCTCACCAGGCCTCTTAACTTGCTTGGCACTCTTCTAAACTGAAACATAGAAGTATTCATGAATGATGAAGAATCCAATGCAGATATAAATGGTTATATGACCGCAAACAAAGAGGAAAAACTGAGACAAAACCTCAGTGTGGCTACAATTTAGTTTCTCCGGTAAGTATTAGGCAGCAACTGTCTGCCATGATCACATACCATCATAGTGAATAGTACATTTTATTACCAAGATATTTTCTTATCAAAAGCAAATTTTCATCTTCTTTTTCAGTTGGATAAAAAAATGTACGTAAAATGGGCTTAAACTTTAAAATGGGTTTTTACAGAAGCTTTGCTTGTGGTTGTGGATGATGCAACTGAAGCTGAAAGAGAAGAAAAGGAAAACGAAGCGATAGGAAGACAAAGTCTTGCAGTGGCTGAAACTTGGAAAGCCATTTGCGCTGTCATTTCGCTTTGCCACCTTTGAATGTGAGAGAAAGAGAAAGAGAGAGAAGCAGGCAGGTAGTTTTGTGTTGAGTTGATTTTTGTTTGTTTTCTATCTATGTGAGGCTGAGGCAGACAGGCAGTCCAATGACTGGTTAATGGGGTGTCTGAGGATTGTGTTGTGTGATGAGAAATACAAGTTGAAAATTGAGGGGAAAGATGATGGCCAATCAAATAAAGAAATTTGACACTATTGGGAAAACCGTCATGTTCTCCATGCTTGATCATCATTCCTTTGTCAAATCATTTTAGTTTTTCTTGATCATCATCATTTTATTCACCTTCATTAGTGTATTGCCTCAAAAAGACCCTTATTTCTGCAACTGTTCTTTGAGAATAGGAAGGATTTTGTTATGTTTGAAGAGCGGTTTTTGGTTGGTTTATATTCAAATGAGATGGATGAACAAAATCTCACTTCATAACAAGGAGGTTTATGTTCTCTGAACATACCAAATCTCATAATTCTGTAATGTTTTTCAAAGAAATTTAAAAGAAAAAGACTACGATATGAATAATGATACTCTCTTCCAGTCCTCTTGTACCATTTGAACAGAAACAGCCTTGGAAAGCTGAAGCTGAAACCATTTCAACAAACTGTACTCTGCTTAGACTGGAAGCACATGCTCAATTCTATACCAATTCTCTCCCATGCGATCCCTAACCTTCATCTCAAAATCATGAGGCGGGTAGCCTAGTTTCAAATTTCTGAGGGTAGTCACTGGCTATAATCCTCTTGGAACAATCTTCAATAGCTTACACTCAACAATGTGCAACTCCTTGAGATTGACCATTGCTCCTTCCTCTATCCTCCATGTCCTCACTGAGTGAAGGAAAGACAGCTTCAAGAATTGGAGTTGAGGGAACCCTCCATTGGAGCATACCATTTGCTTTCCCACATATGCAGAGTGCTCTACTTCTAAAACTCTCAAACTCGGTAGTTTCTCAAGAGTTTCCACGGGTTCTTCCATCAAGAAAGAACCATGTAATGTTAGCTCAGTAAGGTTGGGTGGGAAATCATGAATGTCAAACAATTTGTGCATGAATCCTCCCAAGTATAATTTGTTGAGTCGGATGTGACTTGAAAAGTCCATGAATCCTGGAATGCTAGACCTTGCAATGTCCTCACTTCTAGTTCTTGCATCTAGCTTCAAACATTGTAGCCCTTTCGAGTTGAAAATCCATCTCCTTAAAGCGTCTTCTTGCAGAATCAAATGGCCGAATAAGCCCAAGTGTCGTAAGGTGGTCAACTTGTCCAAGCCTAGCTCGACAGAACTAGTATTTCCAATACAGATCCGCTGTAATGTTTGAAGATTCAATAGAGAAACATCTTTTGGTGGCTCCACCATCATCTCTACGTTCTCATTGAAGTAAAATGTCTCAATTCCAGTAACTTCCAAATAAAAACAGGAATCGGTTCAACCAGTGTTGATCTTAAATCCAGTGTCTGCAACTTCAAAAGGTTGCATATTGATGAAGGAAGCTGCTTCAACCAAGTTCCTCCCAAAAGCAAGTACCTCAAATGAATGAGGTTCCCAACATCAGAATCAAGTAGAACAATGTGAACGCTCTCCAAATCAAGCACTCGCAAGAGTTTAAGTTTCTTTAAGTCCTTCAATCTTGGTTCATTGAGGTCGAAAAACAACAAAGCAAGGATTCTTGAACTATTTCTAGTTTTAGTCGTAATCCCAAAGGTTGTAGAGAGCCTACAAGGCCTTGTTGGAAAGCAATCCCTGACATCTCCATGGAAGATATCAAGAAAACGATCTTCCTTAGCTTTCTTAATGGCAAGTTCTCTCAAAATATCATGTATTCGAATTGTTTTAATCCGTCCGTTCAATTTCTTTGCACCAATTTGAACCATGCTCCTCCCCACTAATTCTACCAAGTAATCCTTAGCTACATCTCCCAGTGGTTCTTGATCTCTAGGCTGCACAAATCCTTCTGCCACCCACAACGAAATCAGTCTTCTAGCAGAAATCTCAAAATCTTCAGGGAAGAGACCAAAATAAAGAAAACAAGGCTTCAAGTAGTAAGGTAAATCATGATAACTTAATGCTAAAATATCTATGCACTGTGCTGGATCTTGCAGTAGCTGCCAATGTGCACTTTGCAGAACTTTGAGCCATTCTTCAAATGTTGCTTCTCTTCTCGATAACAGACCCCCAAGAACTACAATTGCTAGAGGTAATCCCCTGCATTTCTTCACAATTTCTTTTCCTAGTTCCTCAGTCCAAGCAGGTAAACTTGTAGTGGCATTCCATTCCAGGCATATCTTCTTGGACAACAATTTCCAGCTATCTTCATCACTAAGAAGGCTGAGTTCATGTGGCCGGGTTCATGAATCAGCATGCAAAGCAACATCTCTGAATCTGGTAGTGAAAATTATTCTGCTGCCTTTCTTTGTATCTGGAAGCACTGCTTTTAAATCACCCCAAACTTCTTTATTCCATATATCATCAAAAACTACAATATGTTTCCTTTTCTCCAAAAAACTTGACAACTCTTCTTCCATTTCCTCTCTGTGCATCTTTTCAGTTTCCACCTTTCTAAGCCCCATAACCTTCTGACACAAATTTCTCAATAATTCTCCAGCTTTGTATTCTTGAGATACATAAATCCAAGCACAACAATCAAAATACTTCTTGACACTGATGCTACAATAAATTTTCTTAGCCAGCGTGGTCTTTACCTAGACCAGCCATGCCAATGATTGAAACAATAGAGAGACTTGATTCCCAATTAATCAGCTGATCTTCCAAAATGTTTGTGTCCTTCTCTATACCTACAATAATTTCCTCTTCAGAAGAGTGAGGATATGATAGTTTCCTTTCGCAAAGAGAGTCAACTGCGAAACTAGTCCTTTCTCCCCCATTACCAACATTTTCATTTCCATAAGTTGACCCACTGCAGCTAATATCATGAATTTTCATCTTGATCCTGTTTATTTGCTGATTAAGCTTATCACGTGCAATGAGTTCATTAAAGCAAAAAGGATACCTCTTGAAGAACCTGATGATTGGCCCTTTCTCTTTTCCCCACATTTTGAGGATGTAGCTATCGATAGCATAAGCAACTTCTCATATGTCTGCCACCCAGTTTCAAACTCATTCATCACCATCTTGTTTTGCATCTGCATCCTTAAGAAAGCGTAGCATTCTCCTTAATTCTCCTTGAATCCATTCAATTTGGTCGCGCACTCATGCCAAGGAAACAGCTTCATCCACAATATGAATAGCAATATTTTCAATGACCTAGGAAACAATGTACTCAGCCATGTATTGTTCCACTTCCAGGCTTTCTCAGCTTTCTGGCAGTAGGCAGAAGGAAGCACAAGACTAATAGAATAGAAGCTTATCAATTGTATTTCACGGAGGCACCATGTTTCAAAGTTGACCAGAATTATTTGATCAATAACCATTCAACAAATATTTAACAAAACTACCTTCAATGGTTTTTATACACATAACAACAGATCATATAAAACTTTTACGTCAAAAAAAAATGGTTCATATAAAACTTTCACCTCCTTTAGGATTATTTATCATTTTAAGCAGTAAACTTGATTAATAAACATGAGGGCAAAGGTTATATCTGCTACATAGTCATAAGGCAAAGTGGAGTATCAAGTCATAACTGCTTTATGTTATTCTTTCACTTGAATATTTTATTATTCCTATAGCCTCAGAGTCAGAGGATTAGAAACATCATTCTTAACTGGAAAATTATGTAGTTTGAACATGAATGGTAACCCAAACTTTAAAAATCTCTAATATGATACTTGAAATATGAATCTAACAACTAAAGTGATATTCACCTCTAATATGGTTAACTTCAAATAACAACAAATGACGAACAAACAACTCTTCAAGTACTAAATAGATTCATAGTTCAGATATCACATTAGAGATTTTTAAAGTTAGGTATCACATTGAATATTTCACTATAGTTTAAGAACCAATCATGACATTAACCCTTAAGAAAAATTGTGTCTGCATATCAACTAGATGAATTCACTGGTATAAAGAATTCATCTTTACATGAATAACACCACAGAATGCCAGGGGAATAAAAGGGATAGATAACAGAGTGTTGTCAGCAGTTAATAAAATATCGAAACATTTGTGTGAATAAGTTCACAAGGAAACCAACAAGAAGGCTAACAATCCATTCAAAAAAATGGTGAAATTGATTTCCGTAAAATTAAAAACAATGATAACGAAGAAATTTAATACTATAACAGTAAAATTCAAATTAATGATGGAAATATGTATCTGAATATAAACAAAATGATCATGGTAAGATTTTTCACTTTTATGCTGCATCATTGAGTATTATCCAAATACACCCACGATGCAGTTAGCCTTGAAAAAGAGTCTGGATTCAACTGCAATGGAGATACAGTCAAGAGCCCTAAAAGGGTGCTTTTCTGTTCTAATTTGGATCCAAACTGCATTTTGAGTTGCAACCAAATTAACATTTCGTATTATGTTTGAGATGCCAAAGTACTTTTAGGAACTTCAAGAATAGATTTCCAACCATCAGTTGGGAAAATTAAAGTAAATATCCACAACTATGAAGTGCAAAGGCTGATATTTTCCTCATTAAAAGAAAACCTAGTTCAATTCAGCTTTGCAACACCATTAGCGATAAAATTGGCTAATTCTATTACTATTATAACAACCATACATACAAGATTAAACTGGTTGAATAATACAGAAGGGTAAAACATTTTGAAACTCAAAGCATAGAAATTTGGAAACTATGGCTTCAAAGAGCTCCAATGAAAATTTTCACGCTTTCTGCAATGAAAAAAAGGGATATGCATGATTATTGAAGATACCCATAGTGCATAAAAAGCCTAAACTTTGAAGTTTCTGAAATTGCATGTCATTCTTACCTGCATTGGAAGGTACAGTTTAAATTCGGGTGGGAGTTCCTCTTCGGAGTACAAACGATCAGAGAAATATATCCTCCGAAGGCGGCAATTTGCATGGACCTGAACGCGCAAAGTCTCAACATAGTTGGTGCCATAGGCCCTCCGGGTATAATCAGCCAGATTCAACTGAATTTGATTCCAACCCTCATCCAATCTCAGTGGCATAGTGCATATATATGGCTTTACTCGAGTGACAGCCTAGAAATTCAAATAAAAGTTGAAATAACATGAAATTAACAACAACAATCTGCAATATCTGTTTTTCCGTGCATATACATAGAAATCAAGTGATGAACTATTCAATTCCACAAACAATAGCTTTAATTATGTTAAATAAATAAGGATGCAAAGAAATTGAGCTCCAAAAGGGTAACTACACTCACCAAATCCTATAATACACGAGCAGCACAAACAATGAAGTTTACCGTTCAATACTACATTCACCAAAGATCTATTAAGTCATGATAGAATTTACACTCTATGGCAGAAATAAAGAACACATGTTTTGTTTTGGTAAGTGCAATGGTGTCCATCCATGATCCATCCTTCATTAACATAGGAGATTCTCCCAGGATGAACAAAACTGACTGACAAACGCAAATAATTTCCAACTCAACAAGAACTAAAAGGGCACACATCAACAGAATATTAACACGAACTCTCTTTTCATTGGAAGTGCCAACGCCATATAGACCTGTCAGAATGATGGAAGGAGGGCACATATTGATGAAATACCAAGCTCTTTGTTCATCATATATTTACGGACCAAATTCACATTAAGAGAAAGAGGCTACATTTTGATCTCATATAATTGATACCAATAAGAAAAACATTGATATGATCTAAACATGATAATCCTTCAAGCCAATATGCATATCAATTAAAAGATAGGTTATATTTGTAGCATCTACAAACCCAAATCTCTGTTCATCAGCATAAAAGACGTATATTTCCTAATTCATAACCAACAGAAATAGGGCATATATTGATATCTTATAATGGCTAAAACAAGGGCAAATATTGATAGAATAACAACATGAGCTACCAAGTAATGCCACTAGCCCCATCAAATTTGTCCCAACTATTTGCACTCCCAAACACAGCATATAATTATTACTAGATAAATATCAATAATGAAGTCTACCAACTCATCCCCATCAGGTGCATACCTTAAAAGTTTGACCAATAAACTATTCCCACATCAACTAAGACAAATAGTTTGGAAAAAAGTGTTATTTCAAATAGCATATTTTCTAATTCACCTAGCTAAATACACCTAAATTATATCTAACCTAAGAATACACCTACATTAGAAAAATTAACAGACTTACGTACTTGAAAGTTAGAAGCACGAAAACGGCGTCGGACATTCTTATCATCGAGAATTTGAATCTCAAAAGTGAAATATTTCTTCAAGTTCTTAACAATCATGACCAAGAATGGAAGCTTAATACCAAGCGTTGCAGCAGGGTCAGACGGGCAAGTGATGTAGGTTGATTGACTATTTGAACCAATTATTTCCAATACATTCGATTGTATGTCTTCATCATGAGGTCGTTTTACATGTCCATTTACAACTGTCAAACAATTCCCAACAAGTAAAATCAAGCTAACAGTTCAGCTAAACCTTAAAACCATGGAATTTAAAGATGAAAAAAAAATTTTTTCTACATAATTTTACTGACCTTCTTTGTCCCAGATTTGCAGAGGTTTGCTCCTGTAAAAGAACACCAAAAAAAAAAGTTGAATAAATAAAAATACCCAAAAAGAAAACCCAAAAGGGACATATTATTATATATATAAAAAGAGAACCCATTAAAACGTACCCGAGGCTGTATAAGATGGAGAGAAACCCAGATTGAAAGGTGTTTTTGAACATCTTCACAGGTTTCTTCTCTGTAGACTGGAGAAGGAACTCTGGTTCTTTCTACTATCCAATAGTAAGATCCCTCGGATCAAAAGGTCTACATCATTAAGAAAAAAAAAAAGAACCCTTTTTTTAGAATGAATTTATAATCTCTTTCCCAAATATAAATTAAAAAAATTATGCAAGTTTATGGCCCAGTTTATTGGATTCCTGTGATGCAAGTGTCGACTTGTTTGGGCTCCTGAGCCCAAAAATTGGGCATAAAATTAACTTATATAACAGCCCTTGGTACAAAATTGTCTTAATTTACTATTTCCATCTTTTCTGCTTACAAATTAAAATTTAATTTAAAAGATTTATACAATTATTTTTAAAAATCAATATTTAATAAATTTATATTTAAATCTTAATTCAAGTAACGATCTTTTTTATACATTTTTTGTGGTGAAATTTTTTAATTCATAAAAATTTTGATTTTTATCACCATCCTATTAAATATACAGAATTTCAAAAATTGATATATGAAATAAAACACAAAATTTCAAATCAAATTTGACTAGAGCTCCAAGATGAGATGTAAGGTTGATATTGAGGTGGAGTATAGGCTTGACAAGGAGTATCATGCATTGTAATATTAATGAGAGTAAAGATATTAAAGGTTGACGGTTGTTACTGTTGTTTTTAATAAAGTTGATTTTAAAGATTTATAAGTTGAATTTTGAGATTTTTTTTTTCTTTCCGCAAAAGCATAGATATAACTAGTTTTAGTTTTTATCATATATCTAAGTTTTCGATCTAAATCTATTAATTTTGTCTCGATGTCAAGAATAATATTATGAAGATTTACGAGACTCTGGCTCACCTAATCTAATTTGTTCTCTATTCCGTACACATGCATTCTATTAAATAGAGTAAAAGAAGTGAAAGGTCGAAATAAAATAAGAGGGGTTGTTTATATTTATGAATAAGTTCACAAGGAATCCAACAAGAAAGCTACAAATTTCCTCCAGTATTCGCAATGCAGAACAAAACTTGTAGCTTGTGAAAAGCAAAAATGAGGTAGAAAGGATATGCCATGTTCTTAAAGACTAAAACAAAGACAACCCATTATCAGACAAAATATCAAACATTAGTTTTTAGTTTGAGAAAGCAAAGGGTTTATCTGTTTTTGTTTTTGGCACTTCTGAGGTGAGAGTTTTGTTTGTAGGTTGTTGGAAGTATGCCATTGAGGATATTAATTTGGGCAAAATCTGTCTTTAAATTCTCTATTATAAGCAATAAAACATTGCTTATGTCAGTTCATTGGCTTTATATTCAAGGGGCCCGTCAGTCTCTTCAGGACAATTCTCTGAACCCTTTCCTTCATGCTACTGGATCAAGAATCCTCCATTTAAAAGACATGATGAACTGACCTGACCCAGTGAATGACCATAAAATTCCAAGACTTCCAGAAGGAAAGACATGGTTATTGATTTAAGACAGGTGCATTTCATATATCTAGCTACCCTAGATTTGCATATGATTCATGAAAATCACTCTTTGGTTTTTGGTTTTCACATTTTCTTTTTCTGGGTATCTTTGTCCAATTGCATTTATCTGTTAAAGTTGTCCTGTTTCTTTCTAATGTTGTCCTAATCATAAGATTTATATATCTAACCAAAGACATAAGTCTAGAAGGATACTAACAGTCCAAAAAGTTGCTGATGTGTGATATACCCTTCATTCCTGTCCCTCCAAGCCGCAGTCAAAATTATAGATAAGCATGCATATACATCATGTTTACGTAATTTTATCAACAAATTCTCTATCTAACCTAATTTAGTAGAAGCTGCTTTAAACTCGAAATTAAACTTAATTGATTTGTACAATCACTCTAAAAAATAGCATTAGTTTAAAATTCAAATCTTAGCACCTCCTACGACCCTACAAACCTTTGTCTCTGTTCATAGCTTGTGGCCTCATTTGTTAAAAAAGAAAAAAATTAGAGGCTGCTTTGATTATCTAGCAAAGGGGGTAGGAATCTAGTGTTTTCACTTAGACTTTTGCTCATTATTTATTGTATTTTTTTTATCACAAACATCAAACTCTCTAAAGCTGACAATCAACATGCCATTATCCAAAAAATTTTCTTTAATTAATAAGTCTCCATTATTATTCCATAATATCATAGAAGTTCCTCTTCATTTTTGCTAAGCCATAACCCTTTTCTCCTTCTGTCATGGACAGCACGGATAGCTCAAGAAACATGCAGTCTCAATCTGCCCAAAGCCCTTGCAAAAACCATAACTCCATACCATTACCACTTGAAACAGAAAACTTTGACGGAGATGGTGAGAAAAGAAGCAAGAAGCTCACAAATGGAGGAAACAACAATGGAAGAAGATTCCTTGGGGTCAGACAAAGACCATCGGGTAGATGGGCAGCTGAGATCAAGGACTCTTCCCAGAAGCTGAGGCTATGGCTAGGGACTTTTGATGGAGCAGAAGAGGCTGCCTTGGCTTATGATAGAGCAGCAAGGCTTTTGCGAGGAAGGAATGCAAAGACCAACTTTCAGTATCATGGGGTAACGAATACCTATGAAGAAAACTGCAATCTACTAGGAAAGAATCCAAGGCTTTATCAACTTCTTCAGCTATCAATCATGAAGAACCATGCAAGATCAACATCTCTCAAATCCATTAATGGAGTTCCTTGGATAAATCAAAATACAGGAAACAAAGTCGACCCCGTCGATTTTGATTCGCTCGTTGAAGAAACTATATTTTGTTCTTCAACTTCAGTTCATGATGAGCGTAGCAATAACAAGCTTTGCCAGCACTCATTTGGCAGTTCTAGGGTTTATTCTTCTGTTGTTGTAGCTCCTTCCTTTTGTACTTCTTTAGACTAAGGAGGAGCACATAAAAAAAACTTGTGAAGATGACTAAGAACTTGAATCAGATTAAGAATTTAGAATTGGCTTTGTTTGAAAGAAGACTTGTCATGTTAAAACTTGAATCAGCACTGTTTCTTCATGCAATGGTCAGTTGAGGTTTGGCTTAATTAATTTGTGTGAAAAGAGTTTTTTTCATGCCGTAAAATTTTTACTTGCCCCCTTTCATTGGCTAGTTCCAGGGTCCAAATCATCAGACGGTCTTCAATTTGTTACTCTACAGGCAAATGATCGGTACTACACGTTCTGGCAATGAATTCTTATATATATTCCGAAGGGTATTTTTATCATTCATAGGCTTAGGGAAGCTATAGCTAACATGGTTACAAAAATCATGCCAATTTGCAGTCATTTTCATTGGAGGCACCTAACCAAGTCACGACATTTAGCCGCCATTCGCCAGCTTCCTGGCACCCTTAATCCCTATGAAATTGCATTATTGTTTAGTTCACTGTCATTCAGTTGAATTTTGATCCAATTGTCCCCCATTCTTTTTTTACACTTTTAGGAACACCAGGATACCGGTTTTGTACAGCCCTTGTTTTGGATCAAATGAGCTCCCAATCTGCCTCAAATCCTATATATAACCAGGAATTGCTAGCAAAACAAAGTTAAAACCCAAAGCAACATAAGAAAACAACACCTGCGCACCCAGAGCCTAGTTGGCCCAATGATCGAATCAGGAAAGGCCAAGATTCAAGGCAGGAGAGCAGCAAAGTCCGAAATTCAAGCTTAGACAAATGGCGTCCGGAAAAGAGTCAAGAGCCCATTGCCTTAACCCCACAAGTCCACAACCAGAACAAACAAAAAAGGCGAATAAGAAAAAGATTAAACAAAGGAATCACACGCTATAGCCAGCTTAAAGAAAATTCAGTGACTAAATATGAAAAGAGAATTTCTTTTTCCCATTAGAATGACTGGAAAATGTCAAGTACAATAATGGGTGCACTAAATTTTAAACCTAACAACAAAGAATAAGATGCAAACAAACAACAGAAAAGAATATACTCAGCTTGCTTATGTTCCCCTAGATTCGTTACTTTTCTTTTGGTTTTGGAGTTCATATTTATACTCCCGTAACCAACCTTTTTTGGTTGGTACTTGGTACCACTAGTGATTTGATTTCCATTATAGGTTTGGTCGATGGGATTTGACACCAGATTCGATTTGTTCACATGAAAATAGCAGGTTGTTTCACAGCTTGGTACATGTAACTGTAATTTTCACTCACTTTCATGCAGCAATGACGAAGGTGTGGCCCCCTACTTTGAAACTTCGTTTCAGAGGATAACTTTTTTTTACAAAGAAATAAACTTTTGACTACCTGCTAAGAGAAAATGACACCCAAATGGCTGCAAATCAATTCCTACTACTCTACACTGTAAAATCCCACAACTGCAAAACATACATTTACATAAAGGGGTATGCTATCCATCTATGTTCTTGGGTTAAAATGGTGAATGTTGAACCATGAAGGAACTACACGGAAGCCATACCCAAGTTGGGACCATAGACAGAATCTCATGTCATGGACGTTTCAGTCATCATCAGAATCTTTACAACATTATGAACTTCCAGAATTCCCCACACCAACTCATAATCTAAACATTGCCAATCTGAAAAACCATGATGAATGCCAACTAAAATGAAAAATCAAACAAATGAATACAGCATACTTTCGATTCATATTCAATTCAACATACCATCAAAGGGAAAACATCCAAGGGGGTAGCTCCAATTATTTCCATCTTACTTAAGAACCTTAACAATACATGACATGCTGAAAAGCAATACCATGGATTACTCACACAAATTCAAGACAAATAATTCTACCAGACTACCACATCAACGGCAAATTACAAACTACAACTGTTTGAAAGGCTAACAAAACATTAGCATATCAAGAGAAAAACAAGCTCCCATGCCCAGTTCTGAGCTCTAGATTCATCACATATGAACAGAAACAACCCTGAAACAACAACTGACACAAGACCAAGAAAATAAATTTCCAATTTTCCAGGAGATGCAATAACTGAAAATGAAAAAGAATTGCAGTGAGGATTATAAAACAAAATGGAACAACAGATCAACAATATTCAGATGTGGGAAGGAAATCAGAAGGCACTAAGTTGATTTCAATCTCAAAACCAAATTTGACAATTCATTCATTTATCAAGAACATCTATCATAAAATTATAAAACAGAGAAATTATTAGCTACCAACAAGCAGAGAAATTATTAGCAACTATCATAAAACTTTAAAAAAAAATCTTTTTTTTTCTTTTACTTAAAAAAAAAATGAAATAAAAAAAGAGGGAAGGCGCTGGATGCAGAGGTTTATCGATCGATTCATGTATTTGTGTTATTCTCAGAACAAAATTCCCAGGAAGAGATCGATGAACCGCTGCCTCCAGTGTCTTTACCCCTTTATTTCCCAATAATAACACTAAAATTTTCCTTTCTCTCATTAAAAAAATATCAAAAGAAAAAAATTTCAAATTCCACGGATCTGAACAAACTCAACGAAAACGAAAACTTTCCATTGTATTTGTATAAATACAAATCAATAAAATTACAATTCTAGAAAAAAAGTTGAACCAGCAAAAAACAAAAGTAATCTAACTGCCGTGTCGCCGTCGCCGTACGCCTCTCTCTCTCCCGCTCTTTTTTTTTCCCGATATCGTCAGAGGCGAACAGTGAATTTTCCTTTGTCTTTTGGGAACTTTTATTATTATATTATTATTTATTATTATTATTTCAGTTTAAATGTGAGATTGTGAAATGAATTTACAGTTTTAACCTTACTGATAGTGCTCTGGGCTATTTAGGGACAGGGAGGACCACTTGAAAAGCAATAATAAAAAATTCGGATAATGACGTGTCTTATTATGATTTGCTTTCCTTTTTATAAAAAAATGCTTTAGCCTTGAGCCTTTTTCTTTTTCACTGTTCCTCGTTCCGAGTCAAAGATGTACACGTGGTTGGTTCCTTTCATTTGTCCTGGCATACGGCGCAGAGGAATCTGGCTGGTTCGTATTTCCTTTTGTTAGGACTAAACAAATGAAAAAATAAAAAACTCTTTAATAGTTACTCGAAAATTATAAACAAAAGGTTTTTTTTTTTTCCAAAATAAACAAATGATTAAATACAAGAATATAAATTAATATAATTTTCGATAAATTATTTGTTAATATATTTAAATTTTATTTATTTATATTTATTTATTAAATAAATTGAATACAAATTAATGCTTATTTGATTCATTAAATAAATTTATTTAAAATTCGTTCAAAATTTATTTATTTATTATTTATTTATATTAATATTAATAAAATTATTTTTTTATTTTTTTTATTTTTTTATTTTAAAGTTTATTTATATTTATTTATATTTATTTATATTCATTTAAAGAAATAAATTATTTATTATTTATGTATATATTTACTTATATATATTCATTTAATATTAACTTAATTGAATTAAATATAAATAATTTATTATTTAAATAAATGCACACGAATGAACCTATTCGTTTACAACTCTAGTTAAATCTCATATATTATATATTTTTTAAATTTGGTATATAAAGAATTTACAATTAAATAATTGAATTTATATTACGTAAATTAAGTTATCTCATACTCTTGTTATGGTTTTTTTTTTTAACCAATAACAAAGAAATGTCAAGTCAAATAACTCATTAGTGTCACGTCAAAAGTGGGTTTTTATTTTTCCACCACGTCAAAAGTGGGTTCAATGTCACATAAAAAATAAAAATTTTATACATAAAAAATCCAAAAAAAAAAAATCAGAAAAACAATTAGAAAATTAATTAAAAGAGAGAGACAAAGAGTTGGTGGGAGGAAGGTTGGCCGGTTGCTTATCTAGAAGATTGGCGACGGATCCGTCTTGGGCAAGTCAGATCAAGAAAAGATTGAATTTGATCAATGTCATTAATTAATTTGACAACATTAATATAAATTCAAAGTAAATTTTCTCTAACCCTTGAAGTCTACTCTGATCTTGAAACGGAGAAGCATAACAAGTAATATACAACTATCTTTCGGTAGAAATCTAGTGGAAAGGATGATCATCAACGATCCCCAGCTCTCCCTTTGGTGCAGTTTGTATATATGTAAATTAGGTGATGGATAGTGCCATCTCGCAGTTAACTACCCACACCATACACGTATACATGGTAGCGCCGAGGATTTCCAAACCAACAACTTCCCCACCTATGGGAAAGACTTGATGCTGCATTGCTCGGATGCAGAAGAAGAAGACTATGGTGGCACTTAGCACTCCATTAAATGCCCAGGCAATGATTCTAAGCCAGCTAAACAGGACATTCTGTATGCCTTCTTGATTTAATATTGGAATCTGCAACAGTAAGTAGATGAGAAATGAGATATAATCATCACAGTGGCATTTTCTCTTATGTATAGAATTTTAAAGAAAAGATTGAGAGAAAGCATGTTTCAAGTTTCAAAATTCATGGACTTGATACTTCTGACGACAATCGATTAATTATTCTAAACAGAAGCTCCATGGCTGATGACTTCTTCAAATTAAGAGCATCACCGATCTCTCTAAATCCCCATCTCCTCTGTTCCTTTTTCTTCCCTAACCAGGCCTATGCTTCTGCTTTTAAATGAATCGTTTTATCAATTTTAATCCTCACTACTGCAAATCTCCATGGATCCTCCTACCTTGCTCAAATCAAGATCTGGACGCAAACCATAAGCCTCAGCATAAGCAGCATGCTACGCTAGTGATGGATCTCCACAAATGGTTCAGTGGCAAGACCATTGCCCCATAACATCAAACAAGCAGTCAAATTTTGGAAGTTGGATCCATGAAGATATACAACCGGAATTTTCTATATGAAGATGGGAATGAAAAAAATAGAAGCTTATGTTCAAGCCCTCTGTTTTGTTTCTCTTTCCTGGCTTCTGAATGTTCCCTCTTAGAGCCTTGATTGGACCTTCTGGGAGAGTTCCTGTTTCTGTGCTTATGACGTTTTGAGTGTTTTCTGCTGCTACTACTCTTTTCCAGGGAGGAATTTTTCCTTCTTCCTTTTGACCTAGAACGGTGGCGATCACGATTATCGCTCCATGAATCACTGCTTCTATAACGATGTCGCCTAGAATGTTTTCTACTCCTTTCATCTTCTGATGAGGAACTACTGTTCTGTTTCTTGGATGCATGGAGGGTGATTTGACTTTCTTATCATCTTGAGCAAACTTTTCCACAATGACTTTACCAGATATGTTCTCTGGTAAACCATCAATATGTGGCGCTGCTGATAAGAAGAAATGTATACAAGCATTTGACAGACCTTTGCTTTTATTCCTTACCAGCTTGTTGCCAGCATACTTAGCAGCTGTAAATCCAAATGTGTCAAACTGTAAAGAGGTTCCCAAATACAGACCATCCAATTTCAAAAATACAAAAATATGGAATATCATAAACTTGAAAAAAAAATTTCTTACAATAAGAAACAAAATACAACAAAATACTTTTTGCAATCCCTAATCATCTACCGATAAGTGGTAGATGAGAGGACAATATAAGGAAACCAACAACTGCTTAAAAGACAAAAAAAAAAAATTTGAGAGGCACATAAAACAATAATTAGTGAACGCATTGAATCAGTAATCTAATTGTGAAACTACATTCAAAGACTTCTACATAGGAAACAATACTTCGTCATTCAAACTCTGTTATGATTTTTATGAACTGTCTTATAATGAAATATGATATACAATAGCTGATCTCTGTTGGAAAACTTTTGTTAATGAATACAGAGAATATATTTCATAACATAATTTAACTGGAAAGATGCCTAAGAATTTAATAATTAATATGATGCAATTCTTGTATAATAATCATCACTTCTTTCCATAACAAATGAAAGGTTTAAACACTATTTGAGTAGATATTAGGGAACATTAATAATCATGAAACCATGTCAGTGCTATGAAAATATATTAAGACACTAAACTTTAAAGAAAGATCTATTACAAGTGGGCCTACTATATGGCAAAATGTACATCAAATCATGGGCACATACAGATGATAAGGGAATTGTGCAACTCCAGACATGCAAATATAAGACCAATATGGGCATATTATTCTTCACAGAAAAACAAAGAATAATCACAAATAAAGGTTCAACATATATAGCATTACAAAATAATTGGACAACATATTTCCAAAGCTGAACTTCAAGATCCTGAAGGTCCAAATTTTGATTAGATACAACATGATGGAGTTGGGAATGTTCAGGTTCTGGCAAAGGATCAAGAAATTTTAAAAACATTCCTAAACTAAGATCCTAGAAGTGCAAGAAACTGAATTGCGTATATTAAGGAAATAAACAACAATGACCAAATGCAGTTTTGCACAGAGAAAAATCCTTGTCAAAACCTGACAGACACTGCGTCGTCCCTATATGCAGTCAAAGAAATCGTAAAATGTGGGAAAATGAAATAGAACATACATCTTTCTCATCTTCATCTAAAAAGTTGAAAATGCTCTGCTGTTTGACTTCGGCTCTGTTCTTCCACCATGAGGTAAATGACTGTGGGGCCCAACCTGCAAATATGTTTCCCAGACCACAAGGCATGCTAGATGACTCCAAAGCAAGCAAATGGTAGCAGTCTAGTTAAAACGTATATAGAGATATACACTCTTTAGTGCCCACTGTATTGAAGTAACCAGCAGAAAATCCACCTGTAAATGCACCATGGAATCTTCTTCGCCCTTCTTCATCTCTAACCTGGAGAAATATAATTCAAACACAATAAAAAAATGGTCTTTTTACTTTGCATATAATAAAAAAATACTTACATGATTACGTTATATACCTTATCTATACTATTATACAATGGAATTAACCAAGTTGGTGTCACGAGTTGAAGAATCATTAAAGTAAAGAAGCCACTAAAATAGAGACCCAGAAATTCTCTGCATTTTTTCTTTTAAAGCAATTCCAAGACAAGTCGTTTAGAACCAACTGCAAATGAAGCGAAGTCCATCAAAAGCTTCCATTCCTATTAAGGAACTGATTTACCTTCAAATACTACCTAAAAGCACAATTTGCTTTGACTATCACAATTCACAAGGATCCAAATTACATAAAGAAACCGCCAACTGAGAACTAGCAATTTTCCAAACGAAAACAAGTAAATAAATAAATAAATAAGTAAATGCAACTTCCATCGGCTTTCATGTCCTGTTTTCTTTAATTTTCTTTTCCCTAAACTTTCTAGGCATCCAGACGGTGTCGAGCTCAAACTGGGATAGGTCCTTGGAAAGTTCAAATTTTGTCACTTACAATCTCAGCAAGAAAAAAAAAGGAGGATGAAAGTTATACATCTTGCTTCTAGGAAGGGAGTGAGCGGAGGTTGCCAGAAGCTTCAGCAGCGGCTTTTTTCCGACGGTCGGTGATCTCTTCCTCACGCTCTATAGGTGTACCGAAGAAAACGTAATCCTCCTCGTCCGAATCCATGATTTTCTTTTCCTATTTGATTGATTTTGTTTTAAATGTGAGAGATTGAAAACTATCAAGCAATGGCAGCCGATTAAATTTTTTACATTTATCTGAAATACAAATTTGATAATTAGAATTTAAATGGATATAATTGTTTTGATAAATTTATTATTTAAAGATTTAAGTTAAAAATTTTTTGAATTTTCAAAATTTTACATAAAATTGTTTGAGTAAAATTTTCAAAAAGATAATTTTTTAAATCAAGATAAAAAAGATTGTTAAAAAATTTGGATAAATATAATCTTTGTAATTTTTAAACATGTTTGAAAGATTTTGATGATTAAATAAAATTTTAAATAAATTTATTTAATAAATAACTAAAATTATTTATTAAAAAATCTAAATTTCATAATTTTAATTTTAAAATATATATTTTAAAATAGATTTAATTTTTAATTATAATTTAAATAATTTTGATATTTGAATAAATTTAAAATTATTTAATTTGTAATAAAAAATTATTTTATGTGTCATTTAAAAAAATTATTCATATAAATGTTTATATAATAAATTTATTTATGCATATTATTATATAATATATATATATATATATATTCGATTTGGTTAACGAAAATAACATCCAATCTTATCGTCCTAAGATTTCCTTTCACAGAGCCGAAGGGTCTTGTACTTGATGCAACATCCCCAATCTCTTAAACATGGACTTTTTTTTTTTCAAGGGATTGACTTTTGTCTTTTTCCCTAATGACTCAACAGTCATAAGTTCCTTCTTATTACTTGCCGTACTGGCATTTCGTCGAATTTAGCAGCAAAGTAAACAAACAAGGAAAGAAAAATAGATAAAACTAAAAAAAAGTTTGAAAAATAAAGAAAGAGAGTTAAAGCCACAACCGTCCACGCGCATATGAACGGAGTTTCAACACGCACCAAACACCAAACTAAGCTGTCGAAGCGCGTGGATTCCCTCGCGCCCCCTGAAGTTTTTTTTGCCCTAATCAGCTGTGATCGAGAGCCCGCTCTCTTATCATGAAGCTTCATGACCTTCTTTGATAACTTCATAAATCAACCATGTCCTTCCTCTTGATCTACCCCTCGACTCGGATCGCGTATCGCTTGACTCGTTTAACGTTTTTCCGTCCGTAGCCGTAGGAATACCCGCCCCGACTTCTTGACTCAGTAACTCGGTGAGTCAATCCCCCTCGATTTCCTCCCTCTCACGTTCTAGATCTGTTTATTCTCTGTTGGATTTTGATTTTTTTTATTTTTGTTTTAAAGAATTAAAAGATGGAGCCGATGGATATCGTAGGGAAGTCGAAGGAAGACGCTTCACTTCCCAAAGGTAATTTTTGTTTTCCTCTATTTTCTCGTCCTAATTTCCGTTTTATTTATTTGTAATTATTTGGTAGTTTTGATGATAGTTTATTTGTTTTTTCTGAGAATTTTCTCCTTTTCGTTTACTTAGATTTTCTCGTGTTCTAAATTTATGAATTTTAAGACTTGAATTTGTTAGGGTTTCTTTTATCTGCCATAAGAATTAGCTAAGAATGATAAATCATGGCAGTTTTGTTGCTTAATTTAGGGTTTGGCATTATCTGTGTCAGCTTTTGCTTTGAATTATAGTAAATAACTAAATCAGTTTGTCATTAAAAGTTACAACAACAACAACAACAAACTAGGCCTTATATCCCGTAACTCTGGGGTCGGCTGTGTGAAAGGCCGAAAAGAGAATCATATTAGGTCATACTTGCGCCACTTATTTCTATCAAGAACAACCAGTTTGTTATTAAAAGTTAATTAGGTTTTTGCCAAAGTAAGATACCAAAGGGTGAGAGTTTGCAAAAACTTCAATTTGATGAGATTAGGCAAGTATGATGAGATGGGTTTAAGAAAGTGTGCCTCTTTCATGATTTGAAGTATAAATTCGTGTTCAAACCTAGTTTTGTCTTTGACTAGCTTTATGTTGTTAGGTTTTTGAGCTTTTCCAGAGGAGCTTTATATCTGAATGCTTTGTCTGTCAAAGGTGTCAACTGGCTTTCCATTTTTTAAAAAAATTGTTTGAGGGATTGCATTGTGCTGGTTGAGGGATTGTTATGGCTTTGAGGATGGATGATAAAGTTTATTTAACAGAGGAATTGATTTCAATGCTGCTGAGGGCATTATTAATTGGGAAAGGGTGCAAGTGTTTGGATAAATATAACTCATACTGGTTGATGTCTTTGCTTTCCCCGATAAACTTGTTTTACGTGGTGAAATGGAGTTTTTGGAGCTAATAATCAGGTGTAATATTTTTAAACGCTTTACATGGTTCACTTTGGTGCAAGGATTTAAGATTCTGTTTTTCTTTTACTTTTCACCGTTATAAAAAAAAAAAAAAAAAAGATTGGTTTAATAATCAGGTGTCAAACTTTTGTCTTAAAATAGCCAAAACACCCTTCCTTGTGCTCATGCTAATTATAGTAATCTTATATAATTTTCTGCTTATGGTTTTGCACCTGAGCACAGTGGTTTAGTTTAGATTTGTTTCATTGCTTTGCAATAAAAATTATATATATATTTCCTTTTTTCAGCTACTATGACCAAGATTATAAAGGAGATGTTACCGCCAGATGTACGTGTTGCAAGAGATGCTCAAGATCTTTTGATTGAGTGTTGTGTAGGTGAGATAATAAGTTTAATTCTTCTCACCTTTTTAATCTGTATCAATTTAATGTCACACATTTCCACTTGGTAATTAGTCTCATATGGTTATACTCACAGTATTTGTTGTGTCATTGAAGGCTTGGGTGGAAAAATTTTTTCTTGTTAGAATGTTGCTTGGCAAGTTTATCAACCATCTATATTCCCTTGTAATTTTTTACATCATTGGATTTTTACTGTCCCTAACTAGAATGTAATTGGTCTAGACACCTAATTTTCAGACTTGCATGTTATGACAATTGGTAGTATTAACTTATTGTTTGTTGGAATTGATGAAAACTATAATCCTCTTGCAGAGTTTATTAATCTCATTTCATCAGAGTCCAATGAAGTTTGTAACAGAGAGGACAAACGAACAATAGCACCTGAGCATGTGCTCAAGGCTTTAGAGGTTTCTATCTCACCAACCTACTTTCACATTTTAATTTGGTTCTTTTATAGGTGTCCTTACTTCTTTTTGCTTTATTAGGATTGAAAATGTAAAGTCTTGAATAGGACCTTTGCATATGCTGTTATGGTTCAGCAGTGTCTTTACGCATGTAGGAACTTAGCCTGCTTCCAATCTTAAGTAAATACAGAGAATTTTAAAACTGCTTTTACAATAACAACTCAAGCACCATCTGGATATATTTTCTTTATTTAATCAAGCTATCAAGGGTCTGAGAAGGATTTTTATATTGTCACATCAAGCTTTGCCTTTACTAGCCCTCTCTCCATTTGAAAGATATAGTGTTAACTTTTAAAGATGTTCTTCTACATATTTATTTTTCCTCAGCACAGTGAGGTCAGGTAGCTTGGAGCAGAAGTTTCGTGACTTTCCTGATGGTTGAATTGGTTCATACTGGAGATTTCTGTTGCCTAACAACAGTGGTCCATAATTTTGATATTAGTTACCATGGTGCAGTCTACTGCCTTGCATTTATTCTGATCATACAATCTTTTAGTTCTAAGAATGCAAAGAAGGTTTATGTAATATAATTGTTACTAAAACTTTAGGTATGCCTGTGATTTGTCAGGTTCTTGGGTTTGGAGAGTACATTGAAGAGGTATGTGCTGCATATGAGCAACACAAGATTGAGACCTTGGTAATTGTTTGTCTTCTTGCTCCTTGTTTGCATTGAGTATTCTGCATTGTCAATTGTTGGAAACTGAATTGTAATTTCAGTTTTCTCTGCATATGAGCAACATGAGATTGCCCCAGCTCATTTTCTCTGCCCCCCTTTTCTTTCTTTTTCCTGACCTTTTTTTTTTTTTCTCACAAGAAATTGTGTTAGTATAGGCATATAGTTTTTTTCCTGGTTATCGATCAAGAAATTGGCAATCTTGTGCTACTCTTTTCTGTTGGAGTCTTGTTTTCTGTTATTTCTTTTTGGCCATATAACCTGTTTATCAAAACAATACTATTCAATACTGCATTTTGAATTTGATTCAGCAACCAAAGCACGTCCCAACAGATTCACTGATGGTACTCTTGAAATGTATTTCAGCAGGACTCTTTGAGAGGTGGCAAATGGAGCAATGGAGCAGAGATGACTGAAGAAGAAGCAGTAGCTGAGCAGCAAAGGATGTTTGCTGAAGCTCGTGCAAGAATGAATGGTGGGGCTGTTGCCCCAAAGCAACCAGATCCTGATCCAAGTTTAGAGAGCTAACCATTTAGGACTTATTTTCTTTTACCACAGGCAAGCATCTTGACTCTTTTATTAGTGCTACTAAGTTCTAATCTCAGTATTTTATGTACAAAAAAAGCTATTGGTTAGTGCACTGGCCTATGTGGATATTTGTACTTTTATCAATGAAATGCTGTCTATAACTTAATGTAATTAGTGAGAGTTTGTTCAATTCCTTCTGTGCCCAAGCCTTGATATGTATTTAGTTATCAATCAAATAGTATTTAGCTAAACAAATGGGTGCTGAGTAACACACTGACGTAACAAGAGACCGGCAGGCAAATCTGACTTAAAATATCTGCAAGACTGCAACCATTCCCTGATTGCTGTCGTGGCCCAATTCCAGAATTCCTATTGCAAAATGAAGCCACGTAGGATATACAACAATCACCAATCTACGAACCGACCGAGATAGTGATGTGTCATTTCCTGTTGAGACATGTCCAAACTGGGAATGATGTATTTCTGTGAGGTCCCACAGACAATGAAGGGTCAGTTCGCAGGTTGGTGGTTGTTGTTGACTAGTCACCCAACGTTAGAGCATGAGAACTTGAGAATTTACTAATCACTCAAGAACCCTTTTTTGATGAGGCCAACATAACCCAGGTGGCCACTGGCCAGCCCAGGTGTTGGTTTCACGGTACAAGACAGTGGGCTTCAGAACAAATATTGAACGATCTGTTGTTGTGGCTTGTGAGCCTGCCTGAATATCTATTGGTTCGGTTTTGCTTTGGTGTTGCCTCGGGCTGCGGCTGCCAAACCTTTTGCTGAATCCGGATTCAAGTCAAAAGAGTCAGTCAAGCAAAATCCTTTCTCTCTCTGCCCCACAAGAAAGTGAAATAACACACATATTGTCCCCTCAGATTCTTTTTCTTTCCTTTCTTTTCTAGTTTTTTCATAGCACTGCATAGTCTCTCTTTCTCTTTCCACTACCTCAATCAGCTGGTGGGCCAGGCCATGTCTCTTTTGTCAGGATTCTCTTGCACTACACCAAAGGACTAGAAAACAAAGAATTAAATAGAAAGCCCCACAAATCAGTAAAAGATAAGAAACAGAATCTCTATTTCTCTCTCTCTTCTCTTCACACCATCTTTAAGGAGAGCTGCCCTTCCCCCCATTCATTTTATTTTTCTCCTTTCACAACTAGCCAGTTATGGCAAGAACCTCTCAAGACTCCTCCAAAAGACACTTCCACTGGACTAAAAAGGTTGGAACTGAAGATGATGAAGCTTCAACCTTCAAGTCATCTTCAAACCCCAATGAAGAAGACAAGAGGGAAAATCTCAAGACCCATGTTGCCATGCCAACACCAAGGAAGAAGCTTCCAGCTGTTGCCGTTGCCAGGCTTCGATCTGTTCTTACAGCGTTTGGAAAGAACCGTTCAAACTTGCACTTTGGTCTTGGACCTCGAGTGGTAGGCACCCTTTTTGGTTATAGGCGTGGCCATGTTCACTTTGCTTTTCAGAAAGATCCCAATTCCCCACCAGCTTTCCTTGTTGAACTTGCTACACCAATTAGTGGATTGGTTCGAGAGATGGCGTCCGGGTTGGTCAGGATTGCTCTGGAGTGTGATAAAGAGAAAGAAGAAGAGAAAAAAGCTGTGAGATTACTAGAAGAGCCTGTATGGAGAACCTATTGCAATGGAAAGAAATGTGGTTTTGCAGCAAGGAGGGAATGTGGTGCTAAAGAATGGAAGATTCTGAAAGCTGTGGAACCAATTTCCATGGGAGCAGGGGTTTTGCCTGGGAGTGGAGCTGAGGCTGGTGCTGATGGTGAACTTATGTATATGAGGGCCAAGTTTGAGAGAATTGTTGGGTCTAGAGATTCAGAAGCTTTCTATATGATGAATCCTGACAGCAATGGAGCTCCTGAGCTTAGTATCTATTTGCTTAGAGTCTGAAGTTGCCATGGAAGGTCTGAGCTAACTTCCTTTTCTGTGCGTTTTGACTTTTAAGGGGTATACCAGTGATATTTTCTCTTTACTCTTTTAGAGCCATGGAAATGGAGCTCTAGTTTCTTCCAAGTTTTTTGTCCTTTTTTTTTTCTTTTTCTTTTATTGGGAGAAATTGGAAGTGGGTTTTACTTTTATTGTATTCTGTTTTAGGTGCAGGAGGCAATACATTATAACATGATGATGATGGTAGGTGGGGGGGGGGGTCTTGAAGGTGTGTATATGTATAGTTTTCTTCTTCAATCCTTTATCAAGTAATGAGACATTGAGCCTAGTGCAATCAATCATTATCTTTGCATTTTTTTGGGTATATTTCTTTTTCTTTCATGTGTTGAATCTGCCCAACTTACTGTGAGAATTTTCTTTCAACATAGTATGGCCCTGCCTGAGGGACATTGTTGAGTAGCAATATATGTGAAAGCTATTGGTTATTGATTTGTTTTGGTTAAAGGGTATAAAAAGTTTTTGAAATATAATTAAAAAAATTATTCAAGTATTTTAGTTTTTATTATAATTAATTAACTCCTTTAATATTTATTTACATCTAATTAAGTTTTTATTTGGATAAAAAAATTAACGTTAATTTTTTTATTAATTAAGATAAAATTTCATTTGATATCAATAAAACAGATAAAAGTTTATCATGCGATATAATTAATATATATGAAAATAAAAAAATAAAATATTCCTTTTTTTTCTATTTTCTTTGTCCCTCTCTCTTTTAGAGAGATTTAATTAACTATAATTCAAAAATTAATTGATTAAATTTTATCACATTATTAGATTTTATTCATTTAAGGATTCAATTGAGTTAAAATAAAAGATTAAAAATTTAATTGATTGTAATAAAATATTAAAAATTTAAATGATTATTAAACTATAGTTCAAAGACATTTTTGACCATTTAATCATTTTTTTTCGTTCCTTTTACTATTTGGCTAAAGGGTTTAAAAACCCTTAAATTATGATTAAAAAATCATCTAGACCCTTTTTTTTTTATTACAATTAATAAACCCTTCCAATATTTATTTGTATTCAATTAAATCATTTTCAAAAAATTAAAATTGATAATTTTTTTGTCAATTAAGATAAAATTTTATGTGATATTAATAAAATAAATTGAAGTTTATTGTGTAATGCAATTAATATTTATGAAAATTAAATAAAATAAACTTTTTTGTTTTTTTTTTTTCTCTATTTTCTTTCCTCAACTTTTTCTAAGATCTCTTTAAAGGTTCTATTTACTATAGTTCGAGTGTTGATTGATTAAATTTTGTCTATTGACTAGATTTTGTCCATTTAAGTGTTTAATTGAATTAAAATAAAAAAATTAAAAACTTGATTGATTGTAATAAAATTTAAAAGGCTTAAATGATTATTGAATTATAATTTAAGGACATTTTTGACCCTTTAATCTTACTATTTCTCTTTGTAGGAAAAAATCTTTTTTAATAGTAAAATGTAAATGAACAGAATATTTGAATGAACATATTTGGTTTTTGTTCCTTTATATTCATTTATTAAATTTAACTAACAATCATAAATAATATTTTAAATTCGTTAATTAAATGAATAAATAACAAACATAGCAAAATTCATTTATATTTCATTTGTTTAAACTCGAGGTATAAATAAATAGAGTATTTGATAAATAATTCATAAACAAATTTGTTTTTTATTAAATTTAACGAACAATAACGAATAATATTTCAAAACTTGTTAATTAAAAAATTATCAAAAATATAACAAAATTAATTTATATTCCATTCATTTACACTCTTACCAAATACCACTACCCTATTTCAAAATATATAAGTCCCCATTTTGAACTATCAAATTCATAACCCTCATATAGGTTTAGAACTTAATTATATTATTGTTTTTTTTTTTTTAAAAGAGTGATAAATTTCAAATTTTTTGTTTTAAATACTTGAATTCCAAATCATTTATTTGAGTGAAGCTTACTCTTACTTTTAGCTTTACCTTAAAGGCACTAAATTAGTATATGCTATGTTATTTTATAGTATTGCTTTATTCCTATTACCCACCTTTAATTTCTGAAAAACAAAGCTTCTTCTTAAGAAATAGTATAATTTATGCATATTCATATTTTTTGAAGTTGCACTAATGCAATTCATGATGGAACTCTACCAAGGAATTCTCAACTAGAGCAAAGGGAAAGTGCAAAAAATCATAACTTAATTCATATGATCTAAGAGCTGTAAGTTTGAATCGAAATTTAATTGAGTTGATTTATATAATTATTTTAAAAAATAATATCTAATTGATTTAAAATTTATTTTTTCTCAAGATTATAAACCCTTTTATTATTAAAAAAAACTAAAAGTTTAATTATGTTAACTCATTAATTTGCTTAGGTGTTAAATTTGTGGGATAGCTAATAACATCAATGTAGAATCAAATGATTGGTACACACTTTATTCTGCTAATGATTATTCATGATTTATCTTGGGGATTTCCTCTCTCTCTCTCTTAGGGAAAAAAGGGTTCATCAATTATAAGTTAAATTTCTTTTTTTTTTCTTCTTTCAACACTTCCTTTCCCTGTTTAGTTTAGGATTCTTTGACAATTGCATAAGTTTATACATGTATACATATGCAGCCACATACATGCATTCATACATACATACATAAATTCTTTGAAAATTCCAGCATTTGGTCTAAAGTCGTAAGATATCCCAATTTCCCAATCATTGCTTTTGGTGCACAATTTTGTGTGGATTGATCCCTAGAAATTTATTAATGCCCCTAATCATAGAAGTCATCAAAAGCAAAATATTTTATAAAAAAATTAAAAAAAAAATTTTTCGTAACAATTTCTGACAGAAGAATGGCCTTTTCCCTATATGTTGACTGCTTTTCACTTTTGATTTCCTGCCGGTTTTTGCAAACTTCACTGGTACATGTTCTACAGTATGCGTTTCCATTCATAGTCTCAAATGGCATCTTTACTGTGGCAGATAATTCTTTCTTTTTTTTTTATAATCAATAATAAAATTAATTTTGATAAAATTAAAAACGAGTGATGAAATTAAATATTATTATAAAAATATATATTTAGATATAAATACAATTATTTTTGTATAAAATTTTTATTTTATATAAATATCAATCAAATTTAAATTATAAATAATATTATTAATTTTTAAAATAAATTCTATTAATCTATTAATTTTAATTTTTATTAAAATTTTTATTTATTTATTTCTAATAAACATTTTATAAAATTTAATATAAATTTTATCCCGATAAAGATGCGGCGAAACCCGAACTAGCCCTTAATAAAGGGTTAGTAGTAGTTTAACTCTGTCATGTCCACCTTCTCCTAGTTTCACGGCTTTCGTATCCTCTTTCTCTCGTAGCAAAAGGAGTAAGGGTAGGCCGTAGGATCATTTTCTGAGTGGCGAGGTGGGTTACAGCTAGAATAGAAAACAAATCCGTTAAGATTAGTATGCACAGAAATCGAGATTTTTTTTTTTTTTAGATCATCTACTCGTCATTCTTCAAAAGATTCAAAAGTTGCTTGCTGCTTTGCTGCACTTTAAGTTTGGCCACTCAAATCTGCTTTGCTTTACACCATTATTACATACTCCATTGAAATGCATACTTATGGCTTAAAGGTTGCCCCCATTGCTTATTTTGCTGGACTGCAGGCTATATCCTAAACCAACTTGATCTCTTGCTTTCCATTATTTTTCTTCTGTTTCCTCTAAATGGCTACTTTTCCATCAGTGTGCTATATATATATGTGCATACATATTGTATGCAAGTATGTACCAATGCTAGTTGAGTTTTAATAGAGAAAGACAACGATAGATTTAAGCTTTTGATTGATTTATTTATTTCGACAAGAAGAGGTCTCCATTCGAGCATTAAATGTTTTTTCTAACGTAATTCAAAAATAAAAGAATGATTGCAATAGGTATTGAAATTTAAGTTTTAAACTTATTAGATGTTATTTGTTAAGAATGATATGATCTAAAAAAATAATAAAAAAAAGCTTTAAATCCGTTCTCTTTGTACCCAGCTGTTTGAGTTGGGTAAAACCTTAAAAACACAAAAGAGAAAAAGAGAATAGTAATAGACAAAGATTGGAGTGATCTCAGCGTTTTTGCTTCGATGTAAAGAAAAGAGAATAAGATGAAATAAAGGCTTAAAAGTTTATGAGTTCAAAATAAATTAGAGATACTTGGATAGAGCTATTTATATTCATATGGTAAGAAGTTTTGGGCTTAAATTAACTAAGGTTAACATAAAATAATAGGGTTGATTTCGTAGGTCTAAGTTGAGTTAATAATTGATTGTTCATTTAGGACATGGCAAGTTAACATTCGGAATACTAACTCGTAGACTGTTAAGATGATCAAATTGACATAAATTTCGAGATTTTAAGTCAGCTTAATACGTCAGCTCGATAAAAATGATCAAATTATCATTACTTGTTAGTTGACTTATACAAAAGAAAGAGAAGCTATTTTAAATTTTGAACACTAAAATGCTCCTAAAAAATCTCTTAACTTGAAATTAAAGCAGCCTATTTGCTTCCAACTTTGGTTTTTGGTAGCAATTGATGTGTGATTTTCATATGAAAAAGGACATAGGAATTGTAGTTTTGTGATTGAAAATATAAAGGAATAAGATGACAGAATGTAAATTATTGTTTTTGTGTTTGACATGTGGGACATTGGTTCTACTAAGCAAAGGAAAAATAGACCGAGCCACCGAGGCTTTTTACTAATTTTAGTGAAGAAAACAAGTAAATGACTGATGGCAAAGCAGTATCAAATGCGGGGAAATTGGCCTGTGTTGGAAGAGCAAGCATGATATTCCGAGCACCAAGACAAAAACATTTCACAAAGTAGTCTTGTTATGCAATGAAAAGCAGACACTTTCTGTCATTTTCTGGAAGAAAAAATGCAGATTATATGTCCATATTTATGGGGAAAGCTCGACAATAATGTCCCAACGGCATTTCCTAGCTGCCTTCTTCCCCCAACACCAAGCTGCCTACTTGGAAAAACAATGTCTGTTGCAAAAGCAAAAGCAAAATTAGTGGGGAGGAAAGATCATCAAAATGATGAACTCAATGAATATCCTATGTGAGATATATAGATGATTAATTGGTGGGTTTTTTTTTTTTTTTTAATCCAAGTTTATGAGGACAAGAGATTTTCATTATACAATAAGGAACAAAAGGTTTTATGAAGTGACATCCATTTTCTATTTCTCATGATGATTTCTTGCTTTTTTTTTTTGGCCGTGTCATGACATTCTGATGAAGTTTTCGACAGTAAACTATACCTAAGCATGCGGTTAAGTGTATGCATCTCTTATGTGTCTTTCTGTTCTTTGGTTTGGCCAGGGATGGAATTATTGCAAATATATCAAATGAGACGTGTCAGAAGATAAATGGAAAGAAAGATTGAAGTTTACACTTGTGTGGTG